CATTTTCAAATATCCCCTAATTTTTGCGAGCAGTATGTATATGTATATCACTATAGTTACGAAATTCCGATTAATCGAGATTAATCGGGTCCATGGATGCAAGTGAGTGAAAAGTTCATTTGCTCGGTCCATTCACTGCGAAACTTGTTCGCGACTCGGAGATCAGTAGGTATGCGAGGCGCATTGGCAACTTTCTTTCCACTTTTTCAATGCTCATACCTGCCATATATTTACTTTCAACAGGCATTTGTCTCTCGTCGCTTCGCACAAATTCGTTGTTTTCTTCAAAAGCCTCGGGCCTCAATTGATACCACAATCCTGCTCCTGTAATGCTACTAGTGAAATTTTATAAATCACAAGTTATCGAATTATTATCTCCTCGAGACGGCCATTATGATGCACTTTTGCTAATTAATCTGATCCACGATTAACTGTTGGTTTCCTTCGTTAATCTGTTGTTGAACTACTGAAATAGAGATGGTTAAAAATATTACTACTAACGAGTACGGTTTTATTAAGCTCGATCTAATTTGACCTAGTTTTATAGATTGTATAACAGGTGTTTCGTCTTACGATTAGTATAGTGGAGAGCCAATGTAGCATGTCTTTGAATAATCTTGCTTTCAAGATATTGAATACTTTACTGGCTGATGATGCATTTTAAACTTCATCTTCTTATTTCGCATTTGTCGCGCAGATAGTGATTAATTTAGTAAGAAATTCTGAAACAATTCTTCAGTCTTTTCTTTTATTGTGTCTGTTTCATATTTTATCTTATTTTTCCTTCGTTCGATCCTTTCAGTTGGCTATATTGTCATGCTCGCCAGCTTTTGAAATCGTCTTCGTGGAGTGATTTTCTGACACTGTATATAAAATAAAGCGTTACGTATATATAAAATAAACCGATATTACGTGTGTGAAATAAACGAATATGTCAAGGCGTTTCGTATTTCTTAAAGAAAAGAAGAAAATGCGTGGAAAATATCCTTTCGAGATACTTTTTTTATTGTTCACTCTCAAGTGGAATATAATTCATGATCTCATAGGATCTGAACTGATTTTAGTTCCTCATAAAAGGACTTTTTTTAGAACAATCTTAGCATAAATTTCTTCCCTTTTTCACGTACTCGAAACCCCGATCTAACGAATATATATGTGTTACGAAAAGGAGAAAAAAGCGAAGTCTTCGAGCAGAAAAAATGAATGTTGAATTGTGTTGCCCGTGTAGAATGAATTTTTCAAAAATATCAACCTCCATTCTTTGATTGAGATTTATCGAATCGATTACGTGCGATCAACTACAGTTCCATTGGAGTATACAGAGTAAAGAAACGAGATTATAATAATGTTTTGTCAATTGACCATGGGATAAGATATGGACACGATTCTATGGAATTGTTTCCAGAAATTGGCAGGGACGACAATGGCCAGTTAACGAGATAAAATTTTCACTATGGCACTAGCTTATGCAAGAATGTTAGACTTTCCGTATTTTCCTCGTGTCATTTGGACTTCGCGTTGCAAATCAGTTTCCATTTCCAAGTGAAGGAAATGATATTCTTGGGTAATTTGCCTGTATTACACAAATGCAATTGCGTTCGCTCGTATACTTGGCATAACTTGTAGAAAGTATAGAAACTTACAAGGAGATAATCCTTAGTTCTAAATACTTAAAATTTAAAAGGATAAAACGCTAGATGGTCTACATAGCTCGACGCTTGATTCTTTTTTTTTTTTTTTTTTTTAACAATAAAGAACAACTTTCAGAATCCACTCGATCTTCTGTTTTCTTCGGAAAAGACAGAAGAACGGACGTCGAATAAAAGTTTGAAACGCGGCATTTAGCTGGCGTACAATCTCGCCTCGCTGTAGAATTCCATCTTGGACGACGGAGAAGAACGCATCGGAAGGTTGAATGCCGTTTCCGTCAAGTACGGTCAAGGACGTGGTTACTTCAGCGCATTCCCCGGCTGAATTTTTCTCTCAGGGCGTGTCCGCATCCATAAGCAATTATACTGTTGTATATTTGTCGCGGGGTTGTAAATGTCCAAGCCTTGTAGCACGCTCCTTTCATCTTTTTCTCGTGTTCCTGCACGTATTTCAATCGCGTCGACACGTAATCGAATCCCAAAAGGATACTCGGATCGACATTATCTTTTTTTTTGCGTATGGAATCGGCTACGGCCGATACCACACCACCGGAAATTTGCATAATTTAACTCCTAGTCGGGAAAATAAGAATTCCCCAATTTTTTCGTCGCTACGATTTTCAGCAGAGATCTATCCTCCGATCGTAATCAAGATTAATCGCATATAAATCGTAACTAGAATGTTAGTATCTTCCCTTATTTATTATCAACAATGTATCAATCAGGCGTTTCTATTGTACAGGAAGAATGACTCGTTATCTGTAGTATTTTTAGAAAACAAATGTCTTCGAAACGAAATGTTCGTTTTTTTTTCTTTTTTTTTGAAATTCTTCCGCGTTGATGAGATGATATAGCAGGATTTTGGCGCCACAGGCGATATCATGTTGTGGAGCTCCCTCTACATCCTTAATGGTGGACATTCAACGTTCTAGGGCCTGTGACCATCTAGCACGTCTAAACCAAGATTTAGTTCTCGATATATTTTCTAGAACTGATACTTGTTAAAAACTGTAATAGTTCAAAATTTGTATTATGTAATAAAGTCTTTATTCAGGTTCTACGTATCTCTTTGGATATACTTAAAAATGTAATATACATCTGTAGCGATCATTACCAATACACATTTATAGATAGATAACGTGACTTTCGTTTGAAATGCCAATTGGTATAACCGGTGAATAAAGTGTGGAATATCAGTAAACAGCATTCTCCACTGCTTGCTGCTACATAGTACCCTAGATTATTTCGCATCGATTGTACATTCTTCTCATACTCCTCGTTTTAACCTCTTCGTTCTAACTTCTGGCGCTGGAATGACATGCCACGCTCTGTCGAGAATTTTTGGTCCCAAAATTGCAATATTTTCCCAGTTTTAAATACATTTAAATATAACCCAAAACAAATAATAAATTTATTACTTCTGAGTAGTAATTTCTATCCAGTGATATCATACCGACGAATTCAAAAAGAAAGCGACGAATTATTGTATACGGTTTGGTCACTCGTTATGGTCCGCGAATCAGTTGCCAGCTCAAGGGGTTAACTTCTGTGCTACGCACGTCGAGAACTTTTTGACCCAAAATTGCAATATCTTCTCAGTTTTAAGTATATTTAGATATAACCCAGG